CAAGAGGCATTAAAGACTTAGAGAAGCCACGTTTATTAAGGAAAAAATGAACTAATCACGGATGAAAATTACCTCAGCTCCTGGCTTATACTGAAGTTGGTTCGTGATGAACACTTGCCCGTCCAACTTCAAAATCCACTGTTGCTAATGACAGAAGATAAATTCATTTGCAGTGCGACTGGATTAATCCAGATTTCCCTTCATCATACAAGAAGGTAGCTCTTGGGCTAAACGAGGTCTAATTACAGACATTGCCAACTTAAGGCCACAATTGTTTCAGTTTTTTCAATCATCTCAGACATTTCAGCAAAAGAGGGAACGATGCCGTTGGCGGGAAAAGAATCGACCGAAAATCTCTTCTATAACTTTAGTGAAAAAGCTCAAAGTAATATAAAATAAAAGTGATAAACAAAATTCGGGGCGACTATAGGTACGTGATTCTAAATCTTTGCGCTCAACACTGAGGCATGGACATGCGTTATATTTTACATTAGGAATCTATTGTTGGTGTCTGAAAACCAGGTGAAATCAGTTACTAATTTATACTTGATATTAGTAGAATTTTGGAAATCGTTTCACAGCATCCTTCTTGCATTGAAGCGTTACCTTGAATCTTTTTTCTCCCGTTATTTGACTGTGTTCAAATAAATTGGCAGTTACACACCAGAAGAGCAAGGGTGCACTCCTCTGGTTTTCCCGTCAGTGATATCGATGTTACTGTCTTTCAACCTTACAAAAACACATCTTTTACTTTGTTCTGGTACACAAAGTCACTGAGACCCAGTTGTATGCTCTTTTGCCTTTTGCAAGTAATGCAAGTGGGCGAAAATGATTCGGGTTTCTCAGATTTTTTCACTGACTTCATCAGACAGGCTATCGTCATTAGAACCATCCGTGTGTGCAAACCTCCTGTATTCTTCAGTGATTTTTCTTTGGTTTCTAGGCCCATTTTCTCAAGTATGACCTTACACCCTTCAGCCGCACGATGCATTTCTGGGGATGGCGGGATGGTGGTCAGTTTATTCCACACCGACTGTATTTGACTTTTATCCTTAAATATAAAAACTATGTTGTCCCCAATCGACAGTATTCTCAGGAGCAACGACTTGGATTTTGGAGTTTTGAAAGTTCTCAGAATTTACCGATGTTGAAGCTGTACCGAAATTCACTTATAGGATTGAAGGACGCAGTAATTTGTAAGAAAGCTGTTGCAGAATTCTGTATACACTCCTACATGCTCGGAAGTACACGGGAATAAGAATGTTTTGTGCATAAAAACCTTTTGGGCATCTCTTGGTGAACCAGTGCATTTCAAAGCACAGCCAGATAGACAAAATCAAGAGCACCCCAATGTTGGATAAGCTTACATACAGCGTTGTGCTAACACCCGATGGTATGTAAAGATATGGTTAACCTAGCTTCTATCTGGTCAAAATCTTACTTGGCGCCTATAGGTCAAGGTTTTTTCTGCAGTGAGGCGGAAAAAATCAGTGACACCGTAAGCCTTGTTGCAGAACTAGTAAAACGGATGATTGATTGGATACTTCGGCCTATGGATGTACCAATTTAAGGATGGTCACTAGGATTAATCAACTCTAGTTGTCTGTGACAATATCGTCATACCAGACTGATGCACGTAGGCTAGACAGCTGTGATAAAAGAACTCATCATCCTTTTAACAGAGAGCATGGGAAAGCTCGTCGGGACCAGAAGCATAATGACGCTTGAGTAGAGATATATGTTCAGACGCTTCTGCGGCTAAAGATGCTCCGTATTCACAGCCCACACTCTTGAATAATGCAGGCAGCCTAATGAGTTTTTGGTCAAAGTATTGTGCCCACTTGTCAAGGCGTTCTTTGCTGGATATCAGAGAGCCACTTGCGTTCTTGCTGGTTTCACTGACAAAACGCTTTCAAGGATCTGTCGGAAGAATCAAGTGAAACGATCTAGAAATGTTTTAGGAAAGTTTTACTACTTCAGTTTCTTTAATCTGATTGTGTGCTCAAACATTCAGTTTTGCCTGGCGCCTGGTGACTTGTCGCTTTGTGTCACAGTTGTTGGCAGATTAAATGCATCACTAGGCCTCCAGGAAAACTAAGGTACCGTAGAAGATTCAGTGACTGAAAGAGGCTGACTGATTTACTTCTCAGGTCGAAGCATCTTGGACATCCTAAGACATCTTTCTTCAGTCATGACTGGCACCCGATAGCTGATTGGTAGGGGTATGCCAATATCACAAGCGCCATGCAGTTTATGCATGTGTCATGTAAACCTTAATATCGAAGTGAAATGCATCGATAGCTAAATGCATGATCAGAGTCTAGAGATGTATACCAGAAAAAAGAGGCACCCGATGTCCAAGTTAACACAGCAGTTGAGGTCAAACTAGATGGAAGGTTTTTTGGCAAAAACATAACCGCTACACTCTAAATCTTCCTGACTATGACTTGGTAACCTCTCAAAAGCTCATATCTTTTGTACCTTTTAGATGGTATTGTAGCTATGAATAAAATATGCGTAAAAAATAAGTGATCACCAATCGTTTATTTGATTACTGACTCTTAAGATATGTAAACGATGTTGTGTGTGGTCCACTTTGGTTTGAAGCAGGTTTGTTAATATACCATACTTGGCTAAATGACTTCCACCATTTCGTAAGTTGTGTGACAAACACACTTGCAGCAGTCACTTGTCGATGTCTCCAACCCCGGAACATAGAGCAAATGAGCTTCGATGGCGCTGAGCTTTCCTAATGAAGCCTTTATGTCACCAGAGGCCGAAATAATACCGAAGCATTAAGTCTGTTGTAAAGGAACACCTAGAACTGCCTTTAGTATCTTTAGCGCTATAGCCCGTCGGAGTGTAATAAGATGCAATAAATACGAAGCAAGGTTCTCCAAACGAAGCGCGCAGAATCGGTTATTCAGTGAAGTGGAGATGTCATCGACTGGTGGCCCAACACAAAACAGTCTGGGAATATTATGCTACGGCGGTCTTTGCGCCATCATGTGTTTACACATAAAGGCAAGAAGGGGGGATAGGGTGCCGCCAGCTAATTCACAGTCACCTTGCCCTGGATTTTTGTTTCTGACAGACAACATCCGTCGATGAGGAGGGAATTCAGCGCACAGTGAAAAGCCACATTTTCTCTCTTGGGTGCAGTGTACGAACATCGAAGGCAGGTAAGTAGACCGGCTTTTGGCGGTTAAAAGGAGACTGGATGTTTAGGGTTGTGACTAGAAATGGACGTGCAGGAGCTGCAGCTGAGCACGATCCACAAAGTGTAACCCTTAGTCAATATAAAAAAGCTAACGTTCCAGTTTTAGTCCAAGTTAACGCTCCCTCTGTTGATATTTTAAGGCCAAAACTTCACTAAAGCGCACTTCAACACGCCTATTACATAATGTCTGAGGACTTTATTGCTTACCGTCATGAATTTCATATTTAGTATCAACCTGCATAGCTTTCATTCCGTCCTTTCTGCGACCATTTTTATCAAATTTTGACCTTATTGCACGTGCGTATTTTTACAAAAATTACTGAACCAACAAATAATAAGTATCCACCGGTGATCAACTCTCGCTTAACTCGCCATTGTAATTGCATCAAACTTCCGTTAAAACAATTCATCCATCAAAGATAGATAGTCTGCTGACAAATTATTTTATTTTAACAACCCTGCCGGGACCAAAACTATCCCGGAATGGATTGATATGGACTCATTTTAGTTCGACGCCACTGAAATGTTCCAGAATGAAAGGAGCCTACGAATGTCTGAAATTACCGCCGTCAATCGCCCCACGGGTTCAGATGTTCAGCTCAGATGCATATGGCAACGATGGTGAGCTGCTAATGACACGGTGTACCATATGTGGACCAAATTTAATCCACAGCCACAGGGGTACTCGGAGCATTGCACACGAAAATGAGACATATCTGTCTAAATGGAGTAAAACGAGCTGTGCGTGGTCGCCTCTCGTGGCCGGACCAATTCAATATGTCAGTAGCCACTTAAACGCCCCCAAAGCAAGTGGGTCTCCTATACTTGTAAAGTACCAAACAATGAGAGTATAAAAAGTAGGAAATGGATATCGCCTCAAATGGATAGGCTAGTAAGAGTTGACCCGAGGTTTTGGACTACTTTACAAAAAGGTGTATCAAATTTGATCGATGTAGCACTTGCTGTGAACAAAACTATGGGTCACTCAATCAAATTAACTTGTTCAGAAATTTAGACTAGTCCTGCGAAATCTTAAATGTCAATGTATTCAGTACCAAGTAATTCGGTTGGAAGCCATGTCTTTCATGTGTGCTTCTTAGCTTGTGGAAGATTGACCGTACATTACTTTTGTGTGACTAAACTGTTGATTCAAATGACGCGATGAAATGTGACTTTAAAAACTGTCCTTTAGACTATCCCTACCATATATTTCTGGATTTTTAGAAGACATATCAGATGAAGCACAACTTTTTCCAAAGCAACATGAGGATGACAAATAAACAGCTATGGTACAAAAGTATTTTGTACAATTGTTCAAGTAAAAGTACCGTTAAGCTAATTAAAATACTGTTGATATTAATGCTTGGTCAATATCAAGGAAGGGTTAAACCAAACATTTGTGATAGAGTTAATGCTGCCGGCAGCTAACAGCTCACAACTCACCTAATGCCTAGTACAGCTAAAGATGTCACTAGAGAGGTTTTAGTAGAGCTCTTATGGTGCAGCCACTAAGAAGAATGGCAGTACAGATTGAAGGCGGAACATGAGTCTTCGAATCCATCCCATGTCAGCTGATTTATCTATTTTTGATTTATAGTCTTCACAACCAACAAGCTGTCGGATAGACTACACGAACCAAACGTTGACACAAGGAGTCAGCTTCGGTAAACCCACACACAATTTCTAATTGCTGTTAGTTTTGATTCTACAGGTGAAGTAATTTAGGGACGTCATTTTTCTGTCTCCGGTTTTGGATACGGCGTAAACTTCTTCGGCAGGGATGATTGACGAAATCGATTTTGATAGGAAACAGAGCAAAGTATCACACACACCAATAGAACATTTTACATTCAGGAACATCCACACAAACGACAACCTGTTGATACTATTTCCCCGACAGAGGACAAACTTTCCACTTCACTTGAGAAATCTGTAAGGCAACTGCTTCAACCGAAACACTATGACAGGAGTCGCTAATTTCGAAGCCTCCATCCAGAAAACTTGGCGGCTGGGGGAAAGAAGGGACTGTTCAGGGGATTTTACATGGCAGGTAAGACATGTGAGTTTTGGTTTCTTATATATTCAGGAGGTAAGCATATTTATTATACAGGCGATTCTTAAAAGGGCGCAACCACAATTACCCAATTCCTCTGGAATACTCACATTTAAAGGAGATTCCGGTATGACTGATCATCTTGACTCAGTTTGTTATTATGTATTGCATAGATTCTGATGACGAAATGAGTGAGACTATGAAATTTCTAATGAACACTTAAAAAGATATTCCTGTCATCCCTGACGTTACGGACAAGGAACAACTTCAATCCAGTCCGCTGACCGCTGAGCCGCCAAAGTGAGTACCTAACAAAAAATTTACCGAACTTTTCACCAGAAAAATTCTCCCCTTGATTTATCCGGCTGCTCATATGGTGACAAAGAGGCCATATCTATTTATATGTGCTTACAATATAGTTTGTCGGCCTCAACCCAGTTTTGTGAATCACATTTGAAACATTTTTAACAGCTAACATACCTATAATAGAAGGCTTGGTCGGTTCTACCCCGTACATAGTTCACCTTGTTGAACCAGCTACCAGTTATATCAGCATCGGCTTAAATTCTCGGACAATCCCACCATAAATATATCCCATTTAATTTATTGGGACTGTTGTAGCGTTAATATGTTTGGGATACGAATAAAACCACATTGGGGTTTTACATATTCTAATCTTGTGCTATCAATATTTTCATCCTGGGGTTGCTAAATTATATGGAGCTCCATAAAGGATTATTCTTGCATGAACGTCGCTTTTGTTCTTTTTTGTTCCAACCAGAAGGTAACATCTTAATAATTCAGGCTAGAAACAAACCTAATATTTCTGCCTAAAGGTACACGCGATACATCAGCAGATTTTGAGGATCTGGATTTTTAGTAAATGCGGTATGAATTGCCTAGTCACTCTGGATGGTCTACCATTTGTTTAATGGAAATTTGTGTGCTATAAACTTCTAGCTTATTGGACCATCGACATCTAAAATAACACCACCAGAGTTGCTGTCCGTAGTCTTAAAATTTTAAAGGGAAATCAATGAAATAAACATCACACACAAAACGTTTTGTTTGGCGCTGAATTCTTGCTTAGAATTTCTTGCCGCACCTAGAGCGGTAAATTTGAGATCATATGTGCGTTCGAAGTTTGAGGTTTTTACGGATGTTCGCCACCGATGTCACCGAGTTTTGAGACAAACATCTGCATTGCTTACATCATTCAAGCGGCGGATGGCTTAAGTTCATTGTGTGTGTTGAACGACCAACAACGATTAACAAACACCATTGGTTCATTGAGCATTTCCTCCGATCGACATAGAAGGACCATATTTAATGTTCACTTACTGTGTTCGGTTGGCTGCCACAAAGTATTGCTTTTCTTATGTATCCATCTGTTCAGAGAACAAACTGATGACATTGCCATAATTTTCGGTAAACGGGTGTTTGAATACCCCGGCCTTGTACAAAATCTGTTGGTATTATTGGTTGAGGTGAGTCCACAGCTGGATAACAAAACTTAGCTTTGGTCATTCGATAGTGGCGGGTGAAAGTTACAAATGTACTTATGTTCTGCTTGAGCGCAAATTGGACACAAGAGGGACGAAACCGGTCGTGGGCTTTCGGAGAGTTTTCAGCAACCTTATGAGTGATGTATTACATGTATGCAATGCATTGCGATATCTCAAACATCGTACCAACTGAAAAATGAGGCGGCCTGGTTCAGCACATTTAGTTGTTCAAGAAAATCATAAAAAGCATATTCGGCTGGGTTCCAGATTAGTCTCCTGTCAAAACTAAACTAATATGCAAATGAGTGTATTAGTCGAAATCTGTCCAATTTGATTGCAAGTAGAACATAAAGTTTGACGGACTGTGTCTACCTGATCTGTTCCGAGAGGGGCGAAACCTGTCGTCGGTTGTTGAAGAGTTTTTAGCAAGTAATGTATTACGTCTAAAGAAAAAAGATATTGTCAGACAAAAGCATAAATTGGGGATATGTCAGCATACTCAAGAAGGTGGCTCTCCTACAAACAAATGATGTCGCTTACCCTGCAAGAGCAATTTACCAATCAGCAGGCGGTTCCCGATCGTTGGGTTATCGATTCTTTGGTGAAGTGCTACCAACAAAATTCAGAGAAAAACATATAAGCTCGACTTACACGGAGACTTTATTCGGCTCAGTTTTTCCAAACCTTATGTTTCGCGCTATAATTCTTGTGGTATATTGCTCCTTCTCTCACGATAATTCCACGAAGGATACACGGTTCCATCCAAAAATTGATTATCTGAGTTACCGAAACCTATTCCAGCCTTCAGTAACCATATGGATTAGACTTTCATGTTTCCCGAAAGAGATGTCACAATGGACATGTCGTATGCCGTCGACCCAGTTTTATAGGCTGGCTGTAATTTCAACGAGTCGGTGTCAAAAGTACAGCTTTTCAGCGCCCGGCTTCATCCATAGATATTGACTTGAATCATCCACTGTATTAGCCAGGAATATGCGCACAGCATGGCTTGTGGGAAGCCTTTTCGGGGCTGAAGTGCCTATTGCTGTTGAGGCGGTGGAAGGAAGAAGCGCGCGAGGCTAAATAAGCATACGTCAGTATGATAAATCGTGGTGTTTGGTGTTGGCCAGACGAACAAAGCACTAGTTTCTGGTAAGCCTGATAACGGAGGCTGACCTCAGACATAGCCTCACGCTGATCTAGCATGTCAGTAACTTCACTGGATGTGTTGAGCACCAGGCAGAGTTAACTCTCATTCTTACTCTACCTTTATATTAGCCTTTGTAGAACGCTCAGATAAAAACGAACTTTCAGTGTACCTGTGAGAGAAGCATACAAGAAGCTCCTTGTTCCTTTTCTCCTAACAGGGCACCCCCTGGTCATTACAGTGTATTTTTTTGTTATATCGTTGTTAAATTACTATATAGATTTTTATAATTAAAGAACACTCTGGTGATGCTTCCCACAAATGGATAGTCCTTACCAGCGAACCCAGTTTATTTCTCTCTAAACGGTCAAGTAGTATAAACTACAATTTTGCGTTTTACAGATTGACTCATTCCGTATGTGGATAAACTAAGATTAAGCTAGATCAAGACTTGGTAAAACAAGTGGTCAGGCGTGACAGCACAAAATACTGCTAATTTCACCGTCTCTGACACGTAGGGTTGTAGTTGTCTGAGGTCAAATTTTTTAGTGGTTTACCAACCGCCTCCAAACTGCTTTAAAAGCAAAAATGTCCACTAGAACTTAATTTTTTCCATTAAAAAGAGAGCAACAAAGACGAAACACAAATACCGTGGAACCTGATGAATAACGGAATACATATACTTATATATAATCGTTTTATATATTGTCTTATGATGAAAGAAATGAACAGAAAAGACTTTCCTCGTAAACTCACCGATTAGATCACTCCCAAGCGCAATGTTAATTCACATGCAAAATTTATGTATCTTCAACCTTTGACCACTTACTGTAGACTGCCCACGTCCTCAGTACTGGTGTTCATTTGCCGTGTAAGGGAAACTCCTTTTGTGACTGTTAAAATGCTGCGCTAGCTTTTTGACTCCATCGATAGCCGGCCTATTCAACGTGTATCCCATACATTTCTTGAGCTGACTACTTCACTTTGAAGAGATACTCGCCTAGAAGAAAGAAGCTGGTGCTAAACGGATGGTTAAAGTTTGATTCGGATCCAGAAGTTACGCCTACCGAATGTGCTCCAAGCCTCGAGAAATCAACACCAAGCTGGATAAATAAAGAGTGGAAATAGTATTGAACTGACTCTTGTTGGCTGGTTTCTGCGGATCACTTGATCGATGTCAGGATAAACAAGTTGTTTGTTTCAGCACTTAGTTTGGTATTATTCGATTTGGTCAGCAGGGCTTCACTTAGCGATAGGGCCTTGGAGTTTATGTTACGCGATGGGATTCCGAAGGAAAAAGCCCGGATAATTTCTACGGACAGTGACTGTTGATGATAAAGCATTGTAATTTGACCTTTGACCCAACAATTCCAGACAGAGTCTGGATTGCATCCTTTGGATGTGCTCTGCAAAAGATTTGCACACAAAAACAAATGAGGCTGGTGATTCGGTTCTTACGACATTGATTGGATGACTAGAATAAACCAGGCAACCAGTGACCCTTCAGAATTGTTTGCACTATTTATTTGTATGACCTGCATGCTTCGTATCTGGAGCGCATATATTCTTCATTTCGCAGGCAGCGAATTTTCATCAGTTTTATGGTTATTTGCTCCTTTATGTTCTGACCTTAGTGTCTTACCAAAGCGCCTTGAATAGTATGAATGTTAGGCGTACACGGCAAGTAGTGTAGTCATGTATTGTCGGCAGGAGTCGTAAAGAGGAATTTTTTCTCAGCCACGCTAGTTTCACTGGAAGTATATATATATATAT